ACTAATTTAGCAATCTTTAGTAGTGAGGAAAACAACCTTTCACCGTTGCAGTCTATAGGTAGCTGTTATTTTAAAAAAAAACGATTCAATTCATAAAATCTCTCAACAGAAACAGTGGATAACACATAGCTAACATTGGGATGAAGTTTTTTGAGCATTGCTTGTGATGTTTTCTGCTTTCCTTCGCGTTTATTTGTGCATATCACCGAGACACGATGTTTGCCAACTTCCATATCGAACTGGTGGCGCTGATGTTTCACACGACTGGAATGCAGCTTTATCTCCGTATCTCCAAATGCTGCATTCTGCTTCAAACATTCCTGAAATTTTTCTCACCAACTTGAAAATTACTACGCAACTACTGCCCAGCAATTAATTGCTTCCTGTTAGCCGCACATTCCAAATGTTGCAATTTATCAGTTACTGATAAGAGAAGCTGTAAATAATCGTTTATTTTATTAGAATCAAAAAAATGCAATAGACAAATATTCCCGTTCTCTTATCTGTTTGGAATTACCAATTGTCCTCAAATGTTGCAAAAATACGTAAAATACCAAAAATACCAGGGCTGTCTAGAGGAATTAGCGTGAAAAATGTATGTTGACGCTAATATTGAGATAAAATTTCTGCTCAACGTCTCCAAGTTCGTTTGTGTTAGCGCGCTATACATCAAAATTAGCATTATCCCTTTATCCGATATCAAATTCGCTTTCGATTGTCGGGGTGGATTTGAACTTCTGTTCTCAAGACCAGAAAGTGGGAATGGATTTTGTAAAAGAGCTTCAGTTCGGGATAACTCAAAAATTTAACAAAAATGATAAAAAAAAAGGATTAGGAGCGGGAAAATCCAGTAAAAAACTTTGCGAACCATGAACAAATACGTTTGTGGGGCATACACCAGTGCAAAATTATGCTGCTTCTGAGCTCGAACACTACTAGAACTCTCAGCCCTTCCAGGATTAGTAGATTCGTTTCAATGGTAAACCAGTGAGTGCACAGGTCAGTAAGACAAAATCGCCATCAGCTTGCTTATAAACAATTCAAAAAACAGGCAGTAATCTCCTGCCGTCTAGGTTAATTGCCAAGTGTTTCTGCGCTTGCACAGATTAAATAAGGGGAGGATTTTGACACTGATTTAACAAGCTTTCAGATATTTGACAAAATTTCTGAGGGAAACCCAAGAAAGAAGAAAAAAAGTTGAAAAAGTAAAGAAGAAAACGAAGAGAGAAAGCTGCTTCTGGTTCCAGAGCCCGAATAAAACGTGTTCAAAAACAAGGACAACCTGAAGTAGCAGATATGGCGATGGCTGCCCAGCTCTTGCAGATATTTCATAAACTCTCGAATCTTCGATTTCAATCATATCGAAAAGTTCCACTGAATCGTCTTCCGCTTTCTGTTCCTCATCTTCAGCACCATCATTTCTGCAATTTTGCAAAATTATGATTACGGAACTGGAAATTTTATACAAAATTCATTTTATGAAACTGCTTCTCCCGTGAATTTGCTGTTGAGGCAAAGAAATCCACTGGTATTGCCCACGGACAGCGAGCAGAGTAGAAGTATAAAAACTTAAATTTCACAATTCTGCTTGCACTATGCATGGGCACA